GCCTATTTCTGCCGTGAAGCAGTAATGCGTTTCGGTTTGAAGGGTGGGGTAGCCGTTGTAACTATACTGAGACCTTAGAACTTATATCTCAAGATGGGTGGCGCATTTACGTTGTAGATGTCTATGGGCTCCAGTAACCACTTAACACCAGGTGAGCTGTGAGCTCATCCACCCATCTAAGCAATAAAAAAAAAACCAAAATAAAAGAAAATTCTCTTTCAAAATTCATTAATTGAGAAGTAAATAAAATATGCTTATTAAAATTAATAATGGCATGTTATATTCTGTTACGCATTCACGTGCAATTATGGAACTGACTAACATAAACATTTACAGATAGCCTATCTGCAACAAAGAAAAGAATAATTTTCAATGTATTTTTTCTACACTAACCCGAACGAATGTACTAAGTGTAAAAGCTGAAACAAAAAGAATGATCTATTTTTTCAAATAAAATTGTTCCCTATGAAGGAAACAAATAATAAACACAAAATATAAGTAAATAAATTCAAACGCAAAGTTGTTATTTAATACCGCAATAGTTAGTTGAATTAGTAGAGTACACCTTTATAATAATTTCATTCCTTACATGAGCGCCGGCGAATTGCATTAGGGATTTCAGGCCCCTTCCTCATTTATTCCTCTGTCTGTTGGTGGGGAACTGATTCTTATTCCACGCCATGCACATCCAAGAACAAAATTAATGGATGCTTGTTTTTCGAATATATTTAAAAACAAATGTTTTAATAAATTTAAACAAACATTTTTAATGCTGTTTAATAAAAGTTACAAATACTTTTCAGGCTATCTTAGCGATCAGGGAGACTTATGTCTCGATGTTCAAAATAAAAAAAGAGTGCTGAAGAAACATTTCCTGTCACTTTAATTGTATTTAAGTTATTGTTTTAAGTATTTTTATTTATATGTATTTTTCATTTAATATTAGATTTTTTTTTAAAGCTTAGTTTAAAAATCATGCTTAAATAGCTCTTATATTGTACACTATTCCCCTCTTATACATCGTATTTCTCTCTGCTAATGGTTTGCTGGAAGAAAACTCATGAATGAGTTAAGCTCGCCTTTGTACATAGTATTTAGACATTCTTTAAATCTGTTTTTATTGTATTTTCTTTTTGTGTACAATAAGTGAGTCGTCTATTATCAAAGGTGGCAATCTGTGCATTTGGACAAAAAAATGTTATTGATGTGTCAATACAGATTGATTTGAATATAATCGTCTCCTTCAAAGAATACGGTTCAAAACCTGCATTAAATAAAGGTTAATAGTTAACCTGTTATTTATCTAAGATGTCGTTCCGAAGAGTTTTGTGACTGCCAATGGAATACAAAGTCAATAATTCGTTTTTCTGATTTACCAATATTGTTCAAAAGTCAGATTGCCGGCTTTGATAATAGNGAATATAATCGTCTCCTTCAAAGAATACGGTTCAAAACCTGCATTAAATAAAGGTTAATAGTTAACCTGTTATTTATCTAAGATGTCGTTCCGAAGAGTTTTGTGACTGCCAATGGAATACAAAGTCAATAATTCGTTTTTCTGATTTACCAATATTGTTCAAAAGTCAGATTGCCGGCTTTGATAATAGACGACTCAAGTATAAATAAATAAAATAAAAAGTGATAAAAATTTCGTGATTATCCCGTTATTTTCACGTTCTTCCCCTTATTTAAATTCACGATTATCCCGTTTCCCGGCTCAATCGAGATATTTATTTATTGTTCTGATATGATTGACGGTTACCCTCTAAATCGTTTAAATGAAGTCATATCAATTCGCGATTGAAAGTCGTTCTTTTTTTTGTTTAGACATCTTGAACTCGGCCTATTGATTGGTAAATACATCGAGTAAGCATTTGTGTGATCAAAAAGTTGGCCCTTTTTCTGAATCTTAAGATCTAAACGTGTATCCATATATTTAAGCGTACATAAGTATGTTTTTATTATCACGTTTTGGTTGCCACATTACAGGCAATCCTAGTTTGAGGCCAAACGACCGTGCGTGACTGTTCCCCGGTTATTATTATTATATCAGCAATTTTTTTTTAAATTTTCGCTCGAACAATATAAACTGATACAGGCAGCTTTCAAAATTTCAAAATAAATTACCTCACACTACTTATTAAGTAAATTCGTTATCATTTTATTTGCCAACCACTTATCGTACATTTTTCTTTTAATTTTATACATTGCGCTGGTCGTTGTATTGTATTTTGCTTGAACTAATTAGTGCGTGCCTTCATGCTTTGTATAAACAGATAATTGTATATTCACTTGTTCTAGTGGATAGCGCCTTTATTGTCCAGGAAATTATTGGTAGAGCATCTTATATGAGGATGTTTTAAAAATAAATATTTATTTATGAAATATTTTATTGATAGAAAAGCAGTTCTGTTATGAATACCTTTTACATATAGTTATAGTATGTATAACGTTATGATTTTGACAAAAAGTTATGTAAACGATTGCATATCATGCATAGATAGATACATAACCCCTTTAATTTAGTGTTTCTTTAGCCACGACATAATGATTATATTAACTAAAATTTAATAAATAAACAAAGTTATTTATGCTAGATAATTTACGTGGAACAATATATCTTAAAATTACGTTATTAGTTGCTTTTTTTTGCTTTTTACGATCCACAGAGGAGCTCCGTGCCTCATCTGATAGTTTATGAAATCACGCATGAAAAGGGGGCGATGAAAAATCGGTAAAACGTGAATGTCTTTCTCTCTCTCTCTCACTCTCGTTGCAAGCAGCAAATTTTAAGATATAAATAAAATACAATATATAGTAAGCCGTGAAATCTAGCTCCCGCTTAAAACAAAACAAAACAAAACAAAAACAAAAACGAAAAGCTGTATGCAAGCTTTTACATAATTGACTTTATGGTCAACGAACTTTGTCTTACGAAATCTTCCATGTATTCAAAGTGGTAATTCTAATTGATACCTTAATTAATACATATAAGGAAGTCGTCGCCTTAAATGTGTTTTTGACCTGGTTTAATGCTTTGTAGATAGCTAATAAATAATATTATGTCGCAGTCGCATTCATACTTAACTGTCCATACCGATTACAAATTTACACAATCTCCCATCCCACACGAGTTTAATTTGCCTAAATTTTTTTAAGAATTTAAAGAATTTTTAATTCTTAGTTGTCACTTAGTTCTTATTATTCTTAGTTTTTAATTCTCAGTTTTTAATTCTTACTGGTGGTAGGACCTCTTGTGAGTCCACGCGGGTAGGTACCACCGCCCTGCCTATTTCTGCCGTGAAGCAGTAATGCATTTCGGTCTGAAGGGTAGGGTAGCCATTGTAACTATACTGAGATCTTAGAACTTATATCTCAAGGTGGGTGGCGCATTTACGTTGTAGATGTCCATGGGCTCCAGTAACCACTTAACAACAGGTGGGCTGTGAGCTCGTCCACCCATGTAAGCAATAAAAAAAAACGTAACGTATTATTGTAGAATAATCTGATACTGCCTCGTGAGTGAGTGAGCCAGTGAGTCGATATCTATCGGCAAATATTTTAAGAATCTTGAATGCAATCATCAATCAAATTGGATGTGACGACCCATCATCAATAAGCTAAAACTCAACATCCGAACTCAATATGTCACGAGACGTCTCTGAAATTCCAGATATACTTTCGATAATATTAATTTAAGATGATACATTTACAACTAAAAGCTTCTGTTTTAGTCTGTTATTTTGTTGATATTTGATTAAAAAAACGAATTTGCGACCGAATTACCTGTTTAAATTGCTATCGGAGCACAATAAACACTAAACACATGAAAACAGCCACCTATCGTTTGGAACCTCTGGGTCTGCGGAGGGATTTCGGTTCCCTCTGTATTTTGTACCGTATGTTCCATGGGGAGTGCTCTGAGGAATTGTTCGAGATGATACCGGCATCTTGTTTTTACCATCGCACCGCCCGCCACCGGAGTAGAGTTCATCCATACTACCTGGAGCCACTGCGGTCATCCACAGTGCGTTTCCAGAGATCTTTTTTGCCACATACCATCCGGCTATGGAATGAGCTCCCCTCCACGGTGTTTCCCGAGCGCTATGACATGTCCTTCTTCAAACGAGGCTTGTGGAGAGTATTAAGCGGTAGGCAGCGGCTTGGCTCTGACCCTGGCATTGCTGAAGTCCATGGGCGGCGGTAACCACTCACCATCAGGTGGGCCGTATGCTCGTCTGCCTACAAGTACAATAAAAATAAAACCTTTAAGAAATAAGGTTAAAATCATAACTCTTTCAGTAACGGCCCGAATGCCCGATGCCCGAAATAGACGTGCTGGTGGAACCTAGATGTGGGTATACGATATGCCCTACCACTAGATACTAGGAATTATGAAATCTTATTAATTCTTATATACATATTTATTTTATTTCACTATGTTCCACAAAACTTCCAAGATCCGTCATTAAACAACTGCTCCGTGAGCATTTGTTAAATTCGCACTCACTTATCGAATTGCCGGAATCCACATATCACTCGACACGTGTACCCTAGTAATGAAGTAATAAAGAAACCGTGTTATGTTTATTTACAAATTTACAGCAATCGAGTCCTGATTAACAGAATACTTATGACTTGATGTCTGTTAAGTCTTCAAGAACAGAGTCATTTAAAAATTAAACAAAATATAAAATGTTCTCGTACGAGTATTTACATTTAATATTAGGTAAGGCTATGAATAAAATAGTGACATTAAGCAAAGACCTCTATTAATCAATATGTCCTGTACTTTAGGTATAAATCTACAATTGGAACACAACTAATCTCACTTGCCAAGGGATATAATATATCACGTTCGAAGTAGTTGCTCGTAACTTACGCTTTATTGTTTGGTCGTCTCTGATATCTTGATTGCATTTATGTTGTCGCCCGTGACGTATAGTTCATATTTGTTTCCTGAAGAACCAATCGAGATGTAATTATTCCTTCTATTCTAGGAGACAAACAATGTGCGGGACCAAAGATTACACTATGTTAAGTAGACTAAGGATGACTTTGATGCGGTATTGATGAAAGTATAACTATGGAGGGTACGAGAGTGACGCATCAGGGAGTGAGAGCCCACTCTGCCGAAGGCTCAGCAGGCAGGATCACGCAGGCTGGGCTGGCAGCTCGGAGTCCGGAAGGAACTGCGGCTAAGGGCATGGCCATTAAAGGCCACGAGGATTTATGGGTAGAAATACAAGCTAATACCTTCAGGAATTGGGTTAACGAGACTCTGAAGCCCAGAAATATTAAGGTACGTAAATCGAAATAATTTATATTATAAACGGTAGCGTTTGTTGTTTTTATTGATGCTAATGAAAAGTAATTGATTCTTTATATTTATTTAGGTTATTGACCTTGTGGAGGACCTTCGGGATGGAACAGTGCTGTGTTCGCTGGTGGAGTCATTGCAGGGTCGTCGACTGAAAGGATGGAGTGCAAACCCTACGAATCAGCATCATAAGCTAGAGAATGTTACCACCGCTTTGCAGGCCATAGAAGATGACGGCGTGAAACTTGTTAATATCGGTTAGACATTATTTTCCGATTTTATTCTCACAATGCACATTAGTAATAGTTAACTCGAAAAAAAAATTGAAACCCACAGGGCCTTTCAGACTTGCATTTTTCTTTTATATTAAATTATATTAACATTGTTTGTTTCCATAACTCGTGATGAAAATTGTGATTTTAATTTATTTTTCAGGCAACACTGACATCGTGAACGGAAACCTTAAATTAATCTTAGGTTTGATCTGGTCATTGATTGTTCGATATCAAATAGGCAGGAGCAAATTCCCGCCGAGGTAAATCTTTGTTTTAATTATTATTAACAAAATACATCCACTACTAAAATGAATCCAGTACAAATACGAGTACACATTGCTTTGCACTTTTATATCTCCGAATTTCGTTCATTGTGTTAAATAAATTATGTATCAGTTCTTGTAAAGAGTTGTAAATTATGTAACAAATGCTTCGATGACCGATCTAGTACATTAACAGTTCTAAAGGGATCTGTGGTCATCTCTGAATAATGCAAAGCTTTTCTAGTTCCAGTAGTGATTATTTTACATAGTAATTTGAAAAATATAATCATTCCGAATTGTTAGTAATGTTAAGACGATTTAAAGTACCTGTAAAGGCTAACGTGAATAAAAATAATGATAATAATATTGAGTATATTTTTCGTGATGTTCGATGTTCGAAAAAACAATGCAAAAACAAAAATAAATCTGTATATTTGCAATCACGTCAATGGACACTTCTATTATCGGTCTTCTCAAATCTTAACAAATAAATCGTAGAATGTTTGTATTTCATTTGTTTAAATAAATGCAGCTAACCATTTCACACAATTCGAAATGACCACGAAACGCAGTTACGTAATTCGAATGACTATTTGCAATTTCAATATTCGCGTTATTGAAAATACACGGTTGCATGTTCTCAAACATAAATCGTTTGCTTACATATTTATTTATACGGGTATTACGTGGTACTGTTGGGTTGATAGACACAAATAACTGAAAGATAATTGAAACTGTCACTTTTGTTTCCCTTCTTCGAAGTGGCTTATCGCAATCAATTAAAAGAAACACGTGTGGCCGCGGTAAAGCTATTGCATAGCATTTTTTATTAACTTATGCAATTATAATTAGACAATAATAATTTAATATTAAAACAATAATAAAATAAGACCACGCTATATTTATAAACATTAACAAAAGCAAAAAAATAACTGTCCCCTTCACACTCATAAGCTAGACTGCGCGAGAGAGAGATGAGCAGACTTTTCATGATGCACATGCAGTGCGATATCACGCCGCGCGCTTATTCACAAACACTACATAAGCGCAACGTGTGAATGTGTTAAAAGCGAGCTACATGGTAGGCGGAGTGGGGGGGTTAGGTTTTATTTTCGTTACGGAATTTCTTGATTCGGTCGCCACGCTCTAAGCCCTCGAAAAAAGCTATGCAGTAGCTTAAAAATCTACGAACGAACTTAGTCATGACAAGTCTGTGTATGCGCAATCGACAAATACTACGATTACGTTCAAAGTAAACACGTTACAGATACACTTTACGAAATTGCTTCATTGCCCCGGTGTTGGGAAATCCGTTCGTTCGAGTTCTTCTCAGTTTTAAATAAATTAGATTTCAATTGGATAATTCACCGCTTGCGACAAATAAGACGAGGGGAAAGTGAAGGCTTTAGATTCGTTTTGGTGATACTACGCTATTAGCGTACACAGACAAAATTGACTAGTTTTTTTTTTGTTAAAAATTATTTTTGAAGTGAAACTTCTTTATCGGCGTTGGAAAAAAATTTACCGTCACATTTTTCGGTTACGCGTCACATTTTTCCGTTACGCGCCATCTTTTTTGTATTCATGTCTATGATAATAAAATCCTTTTGTTTAAACTTTATCTAATTTAACTTTTTTGTATTCATGTCTATGATAATAAAATCCTTTTGTTTAAACTTTATCTAATTTAACTTTATTTAACCAATTTCTAGAAAGTTGCATGTAGATCATTTTTCGAAAAATAAGGCCATAAAGAAGTTTCACTTCTTACGTGTGTACACTAGTACACGCACACATTTTTTTCTCTTCGTATCTATACGTGATCTATAGTATCTAAGCGTGACTGAATGAACGACCAGACTGAATGAATAAATTAAATATTATTTAAAAAAATGTGTACAAAGACGAGCTCAACTCAGAGATGAGTTTTCTTCCAGCAAAATCATAATTACATACTTGGAGCGTAATAAAATATAAATTTTAATAAAAATAACCTTGAAAATTCACTTTCTTAAGGGAGGTAAACGAGATCTATTATTTTTTTTAAAAGTTAAAAACGTAGAACTAAAATTATAGACCTGGAAATCCGCGTAAATGCGTCGTTGAACCAATGTCCTTCGATTTTTTCTTTGCAATATTCTCTAAGTAAATGATACTGTGGAGTGATTTCCACGAAATGATTCCTAGCATGCGTTCTTCTAATATAATTATGCTAACATCATTCTCCTGCCCTTCTCCTAATCATCTGGGGTCGGCGCAACGTGTCTTCTCTTTTCATACTCCTCTATCATATACCATTTCTTCGTTCTTTTTAGGTTTACCTTTTCCTCTTTCTCTACCTCTATAATTATGCAAGCAATTATAAAATGTTAGAAGGTGCAAAAGGTAAGTCTGGAGTCAAGTTTACCACCAAACAATACCAAATTTAAGACCGTCCGACCGGACACGTCCGTAATTACTTGACGCTAACCGGGCGACTTGTTTGCAAAGTTATCAAAGTGATAACATATACTAGTTGCACCTCATTTTCTCACGTGGCCCCGTAAATTGCTTAGTCTAGAGGGCGGCAAATTGCACGTTTATCGCCGTTTGATTGCAGAAAGCTGATGCTATCGTGGCTACAGGCAGTGTTGCCGGAGTGCCGCGTTAACAACTTGACTACAGATTGGAACAGCGGCGTGTTGCTCTCGGCCCTTCTCGACTACTGCAAGCCAGGCGTTTTCCCTCACTGGCGAGAGCTCAGTCAGTATTATCAATTAAAAGCCGCGCTATGAATACTTTTATTGCTGAATTGAATTTGTAACAAATAATATCAAAATACGTAATAAGAATTGTATTATGTACCCAGATCGACACGAGGCTGTAGAGAACTGTAGGCGCGCAATGAGGCTTGCACACCGCGAGCTGGAGGTTCCGATGATATTGGAACCCGAGTATTTGGCTTCACCTTGGCTTGACGAGTTGTCTGGCATGACGTATTTGTCCTACTTTATGAAACCAGATTCACCGGGCTTCAGGACAACGCTGGAGTGGGTCAACTCTAGACTAGAAAGGGCAATTACCAACTTCACGGTTAGTGCGCAGTTTTTTACTGTATTTTTTTTTCTAACCCCAAAAACAGTATTGTGTAAATATCGCATTATGATTCGGTTCTCAAATAGTTACTTAGTTTATCATTAGTAGATTGAAGCCGTCATGCAGTTCTTGTTTGAAAGTTGGGACCGCCATTATACAATACACTTTAGACTTGGACCTCATGCCTCAAGGTGGATGACATCAAGCAGTTATGCGTTCCTGTTTGAAAATAGGGCCGCCATTATACAATACACTTTAGACTTGGACTTAGTGCCTCAAGGTGGATGACAGCATTTACGTATACGTCTAGAGCCAAAATAGTCAAGACGTTATACATCGAATGCCATTTTGTTACGCAAAATTCGCAAACAATTTCTTAAGTAAACACAAACGCGACTTAAATACAAAATTCAAAGCTGTTATTCGAGTGTGTCTTGATCAGGGTGGGAGCGATTAATGTAATCTCCAAGAAGGTATCGAATTCGCTTTATCCAAGCAGACTGATAATATCAACGATATAAAAGTTATTATTAGTCATACGTATTTTACGAATTCTTATTACGATCGTAACATTATTGGTAGAAAAATACATTATTATTTAGTCTGCGTGAAGTAAAAGAAAATATTATCTTCTGTAAAGCACTTATATCGTAAAAAATATATATATTCTAGATTACGAATTCGATTATTCTCCCATATACCTAATTATTGTTGGCAAGTTGCTTATTCAAAATCATTAATACACACATCTTTTTTCTAACTATTAATGACAAAGTTCTAAAGAATTTATAACAGCTACAGTTAATTCTAGTTTACCTGGTTATGTTCAATAGAACAATTCTATGTTTTTTGTAAACCAAATTCTGATTATTGGAAATATTCACACAGACGGATTGGAATGACGGGCGTGTAGCCAATGAGCTGGTGAGGTCTTTAGGTGGGCCCGCTCCTCCAGCAAGTAGACTTAGACGGGATCCTGCGAAATGGGAAGAAAACAATAAACAAGCCCTAGAAGCTGCTAAAAAATTAGGTACGTACCGTTCCACTAGGCATGTTCGTTTGAATAATTCAATTACCTACGGTGGCTCTTAAGTGGTAACTGGAATAAAAACAGTGTTTTTTTATTTTATTACTCTTATACTACTTATTTGACATTTTTCTTCACCTGATGTTTATTGGTTACCGGAGTCTGAAACCCAATTTGAGATACAGTGTCGAAGCTCTGATATTTCATAGTGACGAACCATCTTATAAGCTGGAACGCAGGATTACTCCCTCGCAGAAATATGCATGAGGTGGTTAGTGCCTTACGTAAATCGCTTGGTTACCTTTTATGACTACTACGGCAAGAGACGGGTTGGCGCTATTCTAGGCCATCACACAGCCAAAATTCTAACGTATAATATTTGGTAAAGGACCTTTTAATATGTCATCTATCAGCTATCAATTTCCTGTCATCCATCGGTATGGTACAAGTAGTACGCTCACCCATTTTTCTAGCTTATATCCTAATTACTAATTATCTACACCTTATCTTAAGTATTAGCGCGATATGAGTACTTTCTTGTCTGAAAGCGGACAGCAGCACTTACGTTATGTTAATGGGGTAGCCACTTAAACACAAGATAGACAGTCCGCGTAACCGATTAATATAAATAGTGAAAAATGATAATTCTTTTAGAAGTAATTTGATCATTTCCTGAGTTGTGTTGCTCTTCGACTATACCTAACGGTATAGACTTAAATAGCAGTTCAATATTTTTTATGTAATTTAACCAGATTCTAGTTTTTCATAATTAATACTGTACAGATTTCAGAGCTTAGATTGAAGGTAGGTTGGCTATGATAGACCGAAATGTATGGTCTGGTATGAAACATATGTAGCGCCCGTGTATTCGTAGAGGCAAATGGGATGAAGCCAGTAGGTGTATACTGCATTGTAGCATACAGTACAGCACTTTGAAAGTGTGAATGGCAACGCCTTGTACGTTTTAAATCTAACAATCAAATTGGAAGGTTTGGAAGAAAAAGGTGCTTGGTTTAAGCTGTTGCCCGTAAAATATTATTTTAATATTTGAGCTATTAAAACACAATACAAATCTATCACAAGGATTTCTAAGTGGGCCAACATTAATAGGAAACGACAACAGATCAAAGTATTTTCGAAATTTCTTAGAAATCGATCTTTATTACAATTTAACTACACGAAGGGCTATTTCATTTACAAAAGAAAATCTTGAGGCCTTTGAAATTTCCTTGTTTTATAATGCATAGAAAATTAGCATTTGAGGCCATTATGTTAAGAATCAAAATCGCGCTTACAGAAAAACTTCTAAGCCAAGCCTTTACATTGAACTACAGATGCTTGCATTGAGATTAACACCTGCTTTTACGTCTAAGCGTCCAGTTTTATCGATAACTAAACATAGTATTCGTTTCTAAATTTTTTTTCAATGATTTTATGTAACTTACTAGAAAGCGAGTGATAAAAAGATTGTTTTATTGTGAAGCTTTTTGTTTTCGAAGCTGAGATAAGGTTACAAAAACAATGCCTTTTTGTTACCTAATGTAAATATTTTTAAAGAGGATTTCCTTAATTTCCCGTGTCATTCAGGGGTCCAACCGGTGTTGTCGGCGCGTGACATGAGCCAGAACGACGTCGAGCACTTGGGCGTGATGGCCTGGGCTTCGCAGTTCCGGAATGTAGCCCCCAGGCCACCCGTGCACGACATGCTGAGGCTCGCACTTGATTCCACCTCCGGAAGAGTCGGCGAGCCTGTTAGTGACTCCTAATTTGCATCTCGTTTATCTTTTGTGCTGTGAATAAAAATTTTACGAAATGTTTTTTTTCTCATATTTTTCTTGAGATTGTCCTTCAGGTCATGCAGTAGATGAATGTCATTAAAAAAAAAGCATACATCTTTTTAATTAGTTCAATTGAATATGCAATTTTGAAAAGGGCACAATATGTCGCATATTTTGTCAAATACGTTTTTTCATATATGTACATTGTAGTTTTGAGGCCTACCTACACCCATTTTATAATAATTCTAATAATTTTCAATTGCTAATTAACACTAAAATATATCTCAAAAGTTAATATTTTAAATTTTACACTGCTTTAGAAAATAATCAGTTTTTTTCATTTCCTAAACATTTTACATTTTCAGAGATGTGCCCTTTTCGAAATTGCATTTTCAATTATTTTCTACCGTCAAAACAATTGAAATAATTATCACAATCTATTTCACTCAAACAGTACTGAAGTATTTCATCTAAAATGTTAATTACAGACCTATATAAAAGTGGAAAGCGTGTCCAACGATCTGTCTATATCGGAGGTGAAGGTTTCCATTGTGAATCCGCTGGAACAAGAGTCGAGGTTAAAGTTGGACGCTCGGGGTTCCGGAGAGTTCGTTCCGGAGCACGCAGGAATGCACGAGATCGTTCTCACCGTCGACGACATAAGGTGAGTTCTCGACAATTGATCAATATGAATTGTTGCTATTGAAGCTTCAAGATAAATATTGTTTACTAGCTGACCCGGCAGACTTCGTAGTGCCTCAATCGAAAAATAAAATACAAAAGGAATCCGTCCGACACATCAAAGGACAAACAAAATTGCTATTTTTATTTAATTCCGAGCAATTTCATATTTATCTACCTTTTAAACCTTCTCTGGACTTCCACAAATAATTCAAGACCAAAATTAGACAAATCGGTCCAGCCGTTCTAGAGTTTTAGCGAGACTAACGAACAGCAATTCATTTATATATATAGATTATAGTAATTATATTTGTGTCAAAATTGAGAGAAATACACAAGCTGGTGTAACGGTATCGCTTTAAATCAATTCCAGAATAAATTATTTTACGAAAAATAAATATATGTATTTTTATTGGAACTGAGAAAGTAATCTTATATTAACAAAATAAATTAATATTACATACGTAAATAACTTGAAGTTGTCATTATGTTATAAACGAATTTTATTCACCGGTAACGCTTTAGTCGTATTTGTGATAAGCCTTTGTTGAAATACGGTATGCCTATAATAATTATCAGGATCTCGAACTAGACAACAGATTATTTTAATCTATTTGATCATTTTAATCATTTTGATAATTTTGATCTGAGTTCGAGTATGTGTTAAGTGTTTTTTCTTGTGCTGCTTAGATATAAAATGACAGAAAACGTATCGAACATGATGCGCATGTTGAACAATCATTACAATTTACAAATAATCAAACTTATCACTCTATAAAATATAAGAATAGTTTTGATTCCGACATAGAAATCCGATATTTCATGACTAAAAATATTTTCAACGGACGAACGGGTAATACCGCCTGGAGTTTTCATTGTAACAGGATTTATAGAATAAATCGCACATTACAAGAATTCTGTCCATTGAATTTATGCTAGGAAATTTATAAGGTTGACTGGGCCAGATACTGAAGAGTGATACGGAACGCTCAAGCGTAGAAATGTGTAATAGAGCGCAAGTATAGTATACTTGGAATTTCCGAAGCTCTTTTAGATGGACGAAAGTGGATTTTAGTTAGTTTTCGATAATCGGGAGAAACTATATTGAGGTTGAACGTTTGCAGAGTGGACGGCAAATACTTCTTTAGAGTATTGCCTAGATTGGTCGCAGTTCCGCCGCCGGGGATGGCCCCGTGTGCAATTGGCAGCATCGTTGAAGTACTAGTCAGTGCCACTGGTAAGTTTCATTGTAATATCAATTAAATAACTGTCATATTGTAAGCCCGCGCAGTAGGTACTACTACATACACTACCCATTTCGTTTCTGCTGATAACCTGTAATGCCTTTTGTTTTGAACAGTGAAACCGCTATTAAATAATATAATTGAAATTTCGACTTCGTTTCTTAAAGTGGGTGGCGATATTGCTCATGTTTAGGTGCTCTCGTAAATATTTAATACAGTGTATTGTTAGCTCGTATTTACGCAATTAAAAAAAACAAAAATTCTATCCCAAAACAGTTTTTTTTTGCCATAAATGGGAGTAAAAATATTCGACATTACAAACACGGGCTGATTAGATAAACAGCGGCCATCGAAGCCTCTAGATACCAATAATGAGGTGACCGTCGACGATTCACTTTTACTTGTCAAACTGGGAATTACAATTTTACGATGACATTACTAGCTGTACTGACAACACGTCCTATAACCAAAAGATGTATTCTTTAATGGATAGTGTTCCTTCATCGCAAAACTCGTTCATATGCTATACCTATTCTTCCGTAATATATTTAAATTGGCTAAATTTCAATGACAAAAGGTACCGATAGTAAGTTTGGAATAAATGAATATTCTTTTCCAGGATAACTATAACTTATCTCTGTTATTTAATATTGTCTGCTGTTATTAAAAATCCAATGTTTTTTACACGCTTTATATTAGCTTCACTTGTATGTATGTTTGTAACTGACTCTTTTAGACGCGATTTTGACCCACTTTAAACGGTCAGATTTCATTCAAACTTTGTATATTTATCGAGGACCCCATGATAATTCAATATTAAATAAGAAATTTAAAAAAAAATTGAAAAAATTTAAATTCAACTAAAAATGAAAAAAAAAATATTGTTTATTATTATTATTTATTACTATTATTTATTTTTACTTAAATTTAACAAATATAAACATAATTTGCTATGATCAAATCTTATTTCGTATATATAAACTATAAATATGTTGTACTCGTGAAGGTGCGCCTCGAAGGGAAGACATTGATGTGACAGCACACGCCCCGAGCGGTCGCGCTGTCCCGTTGAACGCCCGACATCCCCCTCCCTCGGCCCCAGGAACCACCGCCTCGAGTGCCACCTTCCAGCCCGACGAAGCTGGAACATGGACTATCGCTATTACCTACAAAGGAGAACACATACAGGTAGAAAAGGAATTATTTTACGTGTTTCTTACTGCATCTGTCAAGTCGTACATTTTTTTTATTTATTGCTTAGATGGGTGGACGAGCTCACAGCCCACCTGGTGTTAAGTGGTTAGTGAAGCCCATAGACATCTACAACGTAAATGCGCCACCCACCTTGAGATATAAGTTTTAAGGTCTCAAGTACAGTAAGTACATCGACACAATTTTTGATACAATGATAGGTATTTTTATTAATGCATAAGTTAAGATTGTTCTCAAAATCGAAACGAAATTAAAGTTTTACCTAATGTAATGTTAAGCAAAAAAAAATCCAAGCTAAGCACAACCGTAAGGAAACCGTAATGGATGGCGAAGGTAGCTAGCGATCGTAGAAGTAAATCTTGGAAGTTGCTATACACTGCGTGTCATCTAGATTACTAATCTAATGGTCACTGTCCCTAACAAATGTACCTCATTCGATTTCCATTCGAAGCTTGTATCTTTTTTATGATTTAATATTTGCATTTGGGATCTCCGTGTCCTTATTCTATAGCACAAGATAAAATCCTAGCTTGGGACCGTTGTACAAATCTATTCGTTTTACTTAAAATAATTAGGGAACTTAACTAAAAGTTTGCCAAATTTTTAAAGACAAGTAGTTTCCAAAACCAGAAGCAAAAATGATTATCGACTGATAGATAATAGAGTACCTACACATAATTTTCGAAAAACGTTCCTTCGAGATCATTCTTGTGTCGAACAATCCTTAAATACTGCATGGAAAATGTTTTTAGGGAGGTCCGTTCACATGTGAGGTTTTTGATCCATCTGGAGTCCGGTTGAGTCCTGGGGCTCTTGAAGGCGCAGAGCCTTTGAAGCCGCACTCTTTCGACCTGGATACCAGTGGCTGTGGAGTGAAGGGCGACCTTCAGTTAGACATTGTTCACGATAAACGAAGCGTTATGTGTGCTCTAGAGAAGCTATCAGCGACAAAGTACCGAGCTACTTTTATGCCTAAGGCACCTGGAAAACATAGGGTAAGATCTTCTTAATACAATTTTTTTATTGCTTTTAATGTTAGTTAAAATTTCAACAAACGAGTTCATAGAATGTTGAATGTACCGTGGCTACGGAGGCTTAAATACATGACGTGGGAGAGACGTGTAATTGAAGAAGGAGTCTTAGTTGGCAGTTGGTTATATTCAAAGCAGAATGCAGGACAGTTTTTCTGCGGAAATTAATAAGATGGTTTATTTTTACTAAAAATTGGTAATCGCCATAAGAATATAAGTACAGGAGAAAAAAAAAATTGTTTAAGGATTGAATTTGAAGTCATTTAATGCCACGTTTTTTAATAAATAAATTAATACTATAAAGATGGACGCTACGTATTTCTTTTGGTGCTTAAGAATTCCATTGAATGAAACAAAACTGTATATATTAATAACGTTAACCAGCAATAATATCATCGGTATGATTTAAAACATGATTCTTGAATAGACATGTACTCCGCCAGAAAAGAAGAAAATAACATATAAATTTAATATTTTCTCCTAATTTAAACTTGAAAAAAAAAACCAAACGAGTACAACGTATTTAATGAATCTTTTACAAAGAAACTGACATTATAATTTAAATGAATGTCCACGAAAAGTAAATGCATTTCCCGGGAGCTCTCTAATTAAGGTAAAGGAAATAATCTGCTTGCAATGAAAACAGACGCGCCGACTAAAAGAAAATTACTTTTCCACCTCAAATAAATTACGAATTACGTTGTAATTTGCTACTGTCGCGAACAGAAGGATATTTCTTGTTTACTAAAGTACAGGCCGGATAACCCAACCTAACAGGATATTTTCAGTTTTTTTTTATTGCTTAGATGGGTGTACGAGCTCACAGCCCACCTGGTGTTAAGTGGTTACTGGAGCCCATAGACATCTACAACGTAAATGTGCCACCCATCTTGAGATATAAGTTCTAAGGTCTCAAGTATAGATATAACGGCTTCCCCACCCTTCAAACTGAAACACATTAGTGGTTTACGGCAGAAATAGGCGGGGTGGTGATACCTACACGCTCGGACTTACAAGAGGTTCTACCACCAGTAATGTTTTGTTTGTAATATTAAGCTTCTATTTCTGATAATTATTAATTATTTTAATAAATACGAGTATTTTTGGTAATGCGAGTTGTATATTTGTAATTTTCCCGACTTATTTGTTCTCGAATATTCCGCGATTTATATTGTAGTCGTCCTGTTTTCAAAGCGGGACTGTTGTTAATACGGTTCGCTGGTTGTTTGTAATTTAATATTCAGTTTGACGCGCGTACGTACTATATATATGGATACCTTACGTAGTGATCACAAAGTAGGAAAAAGATTATTCGCTGTATGTATATTTCCGTTTGTGACTCACATTGATAGAGCTACGAGAATGTTTGTTACCTCGAGGGAATCATTCAATCGACAAAGTGTAATGCGTAGAATTGTGTGCGTACTACTTAGAATTTTTAATTCTAGATTATATCTAGGCTAACATGGTAGTAATTTTTTAGCTTAGATTAACAGAGAGAGTTCGACTTGTACTGAGTTTTTTTTTTATTTTTTTTTTATTGCTTAGATGGATGGACGAGCTCACAGCCCAACTGGTGTTAAGTGGTTACTGGAGCCCATAGACATCTACAACGTAAATGCGCCACCCACCTTGAGATATAAGTTCTGAGATCTCAGTATAGTTACAACGGCTGCCCCACCCTTCAAACCGAAACGCATTACTGCTTCACGGCAGAAATAGACAGTGGCGGAAATAATATTGCGTTGTTGGTCTACGACAGTCTACGTTTATCATCTGATAGTTAATGGTTACGGACATAGTCTGGCGATACATACTGTTACTAATGGTGCTATGTATTATGATCTCAATCGAGTAGATATCACTAATAAGAAATGAGCGAGATTTTGTATTGGCCCATGCGGGTTCAAGACGTGGATCTTCCATATTATCAGGAATTAAACAAGTTTGTTTTTAGTCGATGGGTTCCTTAGTCGTAGACGTAGTTTTGTAGGCAGCCGAAGCTGCCACGGGCATTGCTGAAGTCCACGGGCGACGGTAACCACTCACCATCAGGTGGGCCGTATGCGCATCTGCCTACAAGGGCAATAAAAAAAAAGACGTCGTTCGTGAATACACGTCACTGCTCACAGTTATTTATGAGCACATCTGTTAATCCAAGGTACACGAAATACCGTTCCCAATTTCTCTATATTAGTTTCAAAAAGTCATATATTCATGACATGAACTGTTTAAATTGCCATTTCTTCTGATGTTTAATTGAACATTCTTAGGATTATGTTTCTCTGTATGGTTTAGATGTAGATAGAAAATGATAAAAATCCTAAACCCCAAACTGCTTGAAGCGGTCTTTGCGATAAATACACTCGATTTTGTGCTTCAGAGATTACCTTGTAATTTCTAATGATTCTGATAACTGGTACCACTAAAAGGGACGGCAGCACTCGTTAGCATAACAAAACCAATTTATAGTATTAATGCTAATTTTTTTAATAATTTTATTTATTATAAAAAAAAGAACATAATATTCCTAACCTAAAAGTACATGTTATTATCCGCAACATGCTTCGTCAGATTACAGAAATAAAGTTATGAGCAACATGCTTCGTCAAAAAGTACAATACTTACTTTCAGCTACAAGCGTCGTCATAATGCTAATAAATTATATTAATGCTAATAAAAGTACATTATTCAACAGTCAGATTACAGAAATAAAGTTATCAGCAACATGCTCCGTCAAAAAGTACAATACTTACTTTCAGCTGCAAGCGTCGTCATAATGCTAATAAATTATATTAATGCTAATAAAAGTACATTATTCAACAGTTATACATATATTTTAATGGATATGACGTTCACGGATCGCCGCACATGTTCCGAGTTGGCTCCCGCGGTAAGAAGACCCGAGACAGTTCCAGTCCCTCACCGGCTTACGCGAGAATATCAAGTCCAGGTATGATAATAATATGTTTTGAAAATAAGAAAATATTCTTCGGGAGATGAAACTTTTACATGATTAATATTGTTTATGAATCTGCTTAATTCCAATTTATATTATAAAAAAATATCATATTTTTTTATTGCTTAGTTGGGTGGACGATCTCACAGCCCACCTGGTGTTAAGTGGTTACTGGAGCCCCTAGACATCTACGACGTAAATGCGCCACCCACCTTGAGATATAAGTTCTAAGGTCTCAAGTATAGTTACAACGGCTGTCCCATCCTTCAAACCGAAACGCATTACTGCTTCACGGCAGAAATAGGTGGGGTGGTGGTACCTATCCGTGCGGTCTCAAGAGGTCCTACCACCAGTACAGTAAATTAAAATAATTTGTGTAACATCTTTGTGAATTGCTGATTCAATTAGCATCGGCGAACACTCCCTGCCAGATGTACCTGGTGAATGGAGATATTCATTTTCCTTTCAGATTGTCTGATTGATAATGAAAAAATCTGAATTAATCGATTATTCATTTGTCATACTTCATTTTCATCTTACAGTGACACGTCTGAGATCCGAAAGTCCAGTAAACCAATATAATTTATACGAAACAAACACAACTAAACACAATACAAGCTCGATCGATCGACGCGAGGACAGACGAGACACATCCGACTACTACAGGTCCACCTTCAGTCCAGAACTGAAAGAGAAAACCTATGACGCCGTCGATTCAGCGTACTCTTCCTCTAGAGTCAACAAGAGGGAAGGTTTTACTACAAGATACGGCTCTGAGAGTCCGAGAAACAGGACTGCGAGTCCTATAACGAGTAAGCATTTAGGCAACGGGTCTAGACTAGACGCGAATAGAGCCGGCAGCCCGTACAGGTCGATGAGTCCAGCCGCCCGCACTACGAGTCCACTCGCGAGGAAAGACAGCCCTTTGAACAGAACTGCGAGTCCAATTAACAGGTGCGTTCAAGGACCTGTTGGTCTAAGTTGTATATAAATTCGAACTCAAATGTTGATTTTAAATTTTCCCAAAACACGATGGAGTTTTTTATGGACTTAAGCAAACCTTGCTCACTTTTTTTCCTTCTTCACCATGTTTTAAGTTATTTACACGATACATACGATACACATTGACCATTAAGTATATTTTAAAAACTCCAAAACCTTTCAAACCGGTATTTTGGATAAATTAGAACTCATGTCAATTCATAAACATAATATGCTACCTCACAGGTAATACTCAAAATAGAAACTAGAAGGACATACGCTTGAATGATTTTGAGCTCAAATGTGCGAAGTAAAATGGAGATTGCATTTTCCGTTGTAAACAAATTTCAATCAATTTTCAATATGGAGCTCTTTTGAATATACATTTTGTTAAAATATAAAGTGATTATGAGTTTAAATGACAAATTCACCTTAATTGCATTTTGAAGTTTCCAACATGATGAAACATTGAATTTGATGCTTTTGAGTATTTTTTAATTTACTGCTGTTGGGTACATAACACACATATATTAATTATGTATTAATTACCTCATAGAAATAATAATCAATTACTGTTTCTTCGTTTCTAAAAGCTAAAACTAGATTTAATTTTGAAGAGTTAAAAAATAACTAAACATAAAAACTTTAATAAAAACTTTCGCGAAAAGTTAATCTCCTTAAAAACCATATCTTCTGTACAATTTATTGCTCCAATGTTCAGAAATGCTAATGAAATAAGTCTCATTTCTACGTATAGGGAATCATAGTATGGATTTTTTTCAAGACGGGAAGATACGGTTAAATGATGAATAAAACCTATAATTATCGTAACGAGAATGGGAAGATGAATACCGCCACCTGAGATTTTTTAAGACACGACGACCGCTATATCTATTTTATTTATTTAATTTACTTCAGATTTCGCATCCATATTACATTCATTAAAATTTCATATAGTTAGTTCATATTATACTAAAATATGAAACAACTAGATGTTTTTCAAAGTAATTGGTATTCTCATTGTGGTAACTAAGAACTTTTGCACATCTGCACTAGTAAAATAGTTCAAAACAATTTGTCTTGAAAGAAAATTAAAGATAAATGTATAAAAAAACTTTTTAACATCTTCCCTCAGCATAATGAAAGAACTTTGTTAGCCAAATAAATCACTGAGTTTCGTTCTCAAGTATACATATGTATATACTTTTGGGGATTCTAAAAATAAGATTTTCGATCGAGATTTAACTATCAAACAAAACGATAAATAGCTTACGAATTAAGTGAATATTGGTTGATTTATTTTCTTAAGCAAGATTACAGATTAATAATTAATGGTTCCCAACAAATGATATAGGTAATTGGTTATAATCAATAAATATTTTGTGTAGATTATAATTCATGTCACGTGTAATTTACTGGTGGTAGAACCTCTTGTGAGTCCGCGCGGGTAGGTACCACCACCCCGCCTATTTCTGCCGTGAAGCAGTAATGCGTTTCGGTTTGAAGGTTGGGGCAGTCATTGTAACTATACTTGAGACCTTAGAACTTATATCTCAAGGTGGGTGGCTCATTTACGTCGTAGATGTCTATGGGCTCCAATAACCACTTAACACCAGGTGGGCTGTGGGCTGTGAGCTCGTACACCCATCTAAGCAATAAAAAAAAACGTAATTGCTAAGGAAATGCTATAAATTTTAGATCTCAGTAGTGAGAAGAGCTTTATTCAGTTTCAGTCTGCAGAGCTTCCGTTTGTTTCCGCCTGTTTTGTTACAATGAGTACAATGTAGATCTATTGTTACACTCGAGATACAAATAGAAGTTTCCAATGTTCGTCACTAACTAAGAACCTTACACAACAATTGTCTGATGAAATAATCTATACTAGAATAGTGTGTCGTTTAAATTCGCCAAAATTATCCATGAAAAAATTGTGTTTATATTTTAATTTTTTTATTCGCTATAGTAGCATGATATACATTATTCTTATCAGTTAACAGCATAGTACATTTTCCATATTCCTGCTTTTAAAATTTACACAGAAATCTGTATTTTGTTGTTGAGATATCAATATTATAACAGAGACAATAAAACGTTCGAACCAGATCGGTTGCCGATACTGATCAATTGCTACTTTTTTTACTACTTGAGCGTATAGTTCCTGTATACTACAAATAGAGATGCGGATAATCTTGTCTTGATACTTAGATCACTGGTATAGACAAACTGGCGCGAAATGTAGCCCAAGCAATTTATTTAATTTTAGAATACGAAATAGATGACTAAATGTGTTTATTGATATTTGACTGACATGCTCGTGCCATAGCGCTCTTGTCTGCCATACTGAGAATCTTGGGTTTGATTCTCGCATCGAGCAAACATTCATTAGATGAACACGTTTTTTAAATATTTGTCTTTGGGTCTATGATATCTGTATATGTTCTTATGTAAACATTGGGGACGAATTACTATATTTAATTTTTATTTAACCTGATTTTTAATACGCTTTTATTAGCTTCAGACGTATGTATGTTAGTATGTAACGGAATCTTTTAACATGATTTTGACCCCCTTCAAAACGTCGAATTAACTCGAAACTTGGTATACTTATGAAGGACCGATGACAATTCAATATTTAAAAAAAAGAAAAAAAAAGATTTGAAAAAATTGAAATTCAACTGAAAAATTAAAAATAAATAATAGTTCAAAAAAACTAACAAAATACGCTGCCAAAAAAGCGTGGGGTGCATGGTATCAGTAGTTATAAATATTTTATGAACAGATATGAGTAGAAGTGTTATTTTGATACCATACTGAAAAGCACCCCACGCTTTTTTTACAATAAAACCATTTTATTCTTATAAATTTTTAATTCAAATTTACTAAAATTTATTTTCTCTATTTTTTAGTTGGATTTTCTATAAAAGCGTTTTTTGTTAGTTTTTTTAAACTATTATTTATTTATATTTACGTTTTAACAGAGTGAATAGTCCATCAGAACACTACAGCCCTGTCACGACAACCAAGAAAGTAGTCGAAAAGCGGTCCAACTACAAAATGTACAGCTCGTACAGTGGCTCCCAGGACAATTTGGACGGTAGCCCGCATTCTTCCCTTGAAGCCGACCGGACGAGGCGACTAGGAAGTCCCGGTAAGTAAATTTGAAAGGTAGTTTTTTTAATTTTTCTTATTGCTTAGTACGGTAGACGAGCTCACACTTGGTGTTAAGTGGATACTGGAGCCCATAGACATCTACAACGTAAATGCACCATCCACCTTGAGATATAACTTCTAAGGTCTCAGCACAGTATAGTTACAACGGCTGCCCCACCCTTTAAACCGAAACACATTACTGCATCACGGCAGAAATAGGCAGGCTGGTGGTACCTACCCGTGCGAGCTCACAAGAGGTCCTACCACCAGTAATTACGCAAATTATAATTTTGCGGGTTTGATTTTTATTACACGATGTTATTCCTTCATCGTGGAAGTCAATCGTGAACATTTGTTGAATACGCATTTCATTAAAAAAATTGGTACCCGCCCGAGATTCGAACACCGGTACGTCGCTCAATACGAATGCACTGGACGTCTTATCCTTTAGGCCGCGACGACTTTAATATCATAGTCATTTCTTCTGGCTGGTCGACCTATATATGCATTTTATGTTGTGCAGGTACCGGAGATCCTGGTGGAAAGCCATACCAATCCAGAAATTCCTGGGATCAAGTTGAAAAGACTAGACAGGCGTTCAGTTCTAACAGGTAATTAATTTGTCAGATCAAAACAATATATTTTGTATAAGATAAAGTTTGCCCACCCGTCTATGCAAACAAAAAATATGAAAAATGACTTCCCATGATCCAATGTCAGCCAACTTTTTTACTCAAACTATTGTTTCAGTTTCCAAATTACGATAAAAACAAATTCGCGGCTCTTCCGCATCCAAATTATACGCCCACTAGAAAAAGACTGTCAAAAAGTTTTATTGAATCAATCTTGATCATTTTAGTTACAAATAACACTTTAACACGATCATCTTATAATAATATCATGAAGGTCCGATAACTAATTGCAAACGAAACAATTAGTGTTTTAATTTGTATCAATTATGTTCCCAGTCTTGATTCGAACAAGGGTGATCGGTACAATAGCTTGGATCGTGAGACGAAGCGGAACACCCAACTCAACAAATACACGAGGGATTACAACAGACAGCACGATCAATCGCTGGAAGACCGAGACTCTGAGACGTATACTACCAGGGTAAGCTAATTTTATCTTCTAATGCAACAGATCTAATAATAATGCTCCATATTACTAAATTGTTGTGATCTAAAGGATAAATAGCTAGGATGCGTACTCATATCAAACGATGCGTATTCAAATCCCGTTGACATGTACCAATGTATTTTTCTAAAGGAATACGTATTAGGCACTCTACGGACGACTACCATGATTAAGGACCAGCTTCGCACAGAAAAATATATACCTATTTATTAATAATTTTGCGTAATTATTGTACGCCTGTTTGTACGAGTATAGGTATCACTATTCAGCCCATTTCTACCGCGAAGCAGTAACGCATTGCGGTTTGAACATATCCTATATACCTACTAAAATAGAGTCATCGACCTCATAACTCAAACACCATTTAGCTTTACATAGGCTATGAGTTCGTTCGCGCGTTAAATCTGCCTAAAACACCCGGGGTATACTTGGTTAGAGGAACCTAAAATTATTATGATTGTCCGATTTAACATATGGCACTCTGCCACTGCTAGCTACTGCTATAAAGTCATCTCTAGTTACAGTATCTTGTGTACATATTTTTTTCCGATCTCCGTAGTATCTTCCTAAGTTAGGTCTTAATTAAATCCCGCACTGATGAGTACTATGTATTACTTACCTATTTTCGCTGCAAAGAAATCTTACGTCACATTTGTTTTTTTTTGACGATTTGAGTATTGTTTCATTTTGGTTATGCTTATGACCAGGATTCACATGAGACTAGACCGTTATCTGTAGTAAGATAAAGCCTATTTGTAAAGCTCACAAATTGATCACCTGCGGCTTGTAAAAAACACACGAACATTCAGTTTTCTATTTTTTATTAATATACAGGCACACGGGTCTCCAATGAGTCATTATTATTACATATCTATACACATATTGACGCTTGAAAGGCAATCCTGACTAAGCGACAAAAGTAAGTAAAATGAGTTAGATACACCATTGGAATCGTCTGATTTTTCTGCGTCGTTTAGTATTGGTTTCATCACTCTATGACATGTTTTATGTCGCTTAGATATGGTGTGATTTTCATAAAAATGCAGAGTTTTTTCCTACCAAACGACAAAAAAAAAGTTATTTTAGAGACATCCTGCAGTTAGGACATTTTAATAATAAGGTATTATTTACTTAGACAGTTATTCATGTTTTTAAATTTTCATTTGTTTGTATTTATTTATTTTTACTTGTTATGAAATTTTTCTTTCAAATCATTTAGTAGATTGTACCTATACAAAGTAGTCGTAATTGGTACAGCTATACAATTTAACCTGAAACAAAATGGAATAACATTGAATCTTAGATAGTTTTACTTGTTTAACATAATATCCTTTTCCATCCGTAAATATTTTTACATGACAACATTTCTAAACTAACTACGTCGTCTAGATAATTTTACTTGATTAATTTCAATGCTTACTTTTGGCGCTTAGTTATGTTTACCCGTAAACAAAATATAATTTTTTGTCGCTAAGGAACTGCACGAGTTTAAATACGTCGCGTGGGTACGCGCAACTAGTCGCGTACCACGTTTTCGCGGGCTGGTAAAAGGTGACATTCGTAAGCTGGGCGTCGCTTAGTAAAGTCGTTTGTCACATTACTTTGCATTTTGTTCCCACGAGGGAGATGTGAACCACCAAATAAGACCAAAGAAACGACTATAGATTCCGTAAAAAGATTTATCAAAAGCGTACAAAGTCGTCGTGGCCTAAAGGATAAGGCGTCCGGTGCATTCGTATGTAGCGATGCAACGGTGTTCGAATCCCGCAGGCGGGTACCAATTTTTTAAATACGTAACTGTACTTCAAAGGCAACCAAACCGGGAAAATAAGCAAGATCCGTGTTATGACTTTCAAAGGCACTTTGAAGACTTTCAATACAAGCAAAGCGTTAAATACAAAACACCTATGACTGCTTCTGCATCATCTTTTGATGTCGAAGTTCAGTCTAAAATCAAGTTATCACTGACATCTTGTTATAGGTCTCAGTTACCCATATCAAAAGCCAAATATGATGATTTGCTCAAACTTTGCACTGACAAAGTCATTCCTAATTGTCTTAAACAAGAGTTTCTGAGCATTCCACGTGCACGACATTGCACGATATTGAAGATTGTGATTAATTAACAAAAAATAACAAGATCTCATGTCGCATATCTATCGTATGCCTTTGGAGACTGATTATATTACAATAGTGTTGTTAAGTTTGGTTATGTTCAATAGCAGAATACAATTTATTATTGTTTTTGTTGTTGATTTACTCTGAAAACTAGAGATTTTATGAGTTTTAATAATTCTCTATTGTTTTTAAGACTGATGAGGCAATAACTAGATTTTGGTATTATACTGGAATACACTACAATGTGTTATGGTTTATTTATTTAATATTGGCAAAATATTGTATAAAATATAATATATCCCTATTGTTTCTTACAATAAATGTTTATTCATAAACGTCTCGCTCTTTTGGTTTCACTCTTTTGCATGATTTACCATAGTAATTTATTACATTTTAGTTCAATTCTTTACACTTTCTACATGCATAAAAAAATGGAATAGTATTTAGATACATTTACTAGATTTGTTGTGAACTATGGGATCACTTTAGTCCAATATACCCAAAACGAAGCTGTAAGCTGTGCGAATTTGTCTAACTTTACATGTTACTCAAAATCTTTCAACGATAGCTCATATTGTTTTAAATGTTACTCCAAATCTTTCAATGCTGGGTTAGATAATTTTACTTGTGACGAGAAACCTTTTATATAAAATTCAGATAATTTTACCTGTTTATCAAATTATGGACAATATATATAAGCGACAATAACTGCTATATACATAAATGATAGGCAATAACCTTTAAGTATATTCGATGGGCAAAAAAAACTATTTCTAGGTCTATTAAAATAATTTCAATCCTACAGTTAGATTCGTTAAAATAATTTTTTTTTCAGATATTTCAACTTTAAATTGCTCTACTGTAAAGTTCACGCATCGTCGCTTAGTCATGTTTGCCTTTCAAGCGTCGAATTATATTGATAAACATAGTGAGTGCAACATACATCGTATAGACAATTAAAATAGTAATGTAGGTGTAATATTAAATACATATTCAATTAGGAGAATATTTGATATCAAACATGCATGTTTGAGTGAATTCTAATGAAAAGCAAACACGTGTATATTAAGTACGTAATTATTTTATTTTACAAACATGGTTCAGCTCACCTCATTAGAAAATGAATGTACGTGAACCCGTGAAGCGAGGTGCTTGTTTTATGTCCGCCTCGTTTGGTCAAGTGAATAGTGAAACTGACTGCTACAGTGCTACATCATAGGATTTGAGCCCGATTAATTTTATACTACAACCTGCAAGCTCACATAAACACCATTTGATTTGTTGATTGAAAAGAAATAATAAATTTAAGTGATTTTAAAATTAAACGTTTATCAATTAAAATCACATCCTGATTTGTTTTATTTTTTTTTATTGCTCTCGTAGGCAGACAAGCATACGGCCCACCTGATGGTGAGTGGTTACCGTCGCCCATGGACCTCTGCAATGCCAGGGGCAGAGCCAAGCCGCTGCCTACCAATGTCAATGTCAATATGCCACGATATCTTACGCTTAAATTACTAGTTAGAAGTAGACAGAACATTATTATGAACCGTTTGATTTAAGCTTTTCATTATATTTAAGCATTATGTTTTCGTACGTTTGTCCGGAATTTAAACGATTACTGCCCTTTTTATAATAAAATTTCGTCTTTTCGCATTAAAAGTGTACAATTTCCAAAAATATTTGAAACTCTGTTAATATACGTTCTAGAAGTCGTCGTGACCTAAGGGATAAGACGTCCGGTGCATTCGTGTTGAGCGATACACCCGGTGTTCGAATACACATACACCCGGTAAATTTTTTAATGAAATACGTACTCAACAAATGTTCGCGATTGATTTCCACGGTGAAGGAAGGAATAACATCGTGTAATAAAAATCAAACCCACAAAAATTATAATTTGCGTAATTATTACGTTGTGGATGTCTATGGGCTCTAGTAATCACTTAACACCAGGTGGGCTGTGAGTTCGTCTACCCATCTAAGCAATAGAAAAAAAATCATTTTATCACCAGTATTTTTCTCATAAATACTGTCAGAAGAGCGTAGTTTAATTTTAGTTTTTTTTTTTGTTTACCTATATTTTGACTATTATTAACAAAATTAATACATCATTTTATCTTAGTTTAAAAGACAGATAATGTATCTGTTAAAAAGTAAAGAATAAATGTTGCAAATATGATTAATATTAAAAACATCACATGTTAAGCCTTTAAAGCACTCTCCTGTAAAATTAGTAAGTTTTGAGATTATACAGCTTTAATGCGAGAAGACGATTTGTATAAGAGTATGCAGAGCTGTACAGATAGGAGAAATGCTTATTTAAAATAACATCAATCTTTGATGCAACAAAGGTTGGTCGGGATGTGGATCCAAAGAAATAAAACCCGAGTTTCACGTAATTCTATTCTATATGGGTGTTCTATAGACATGTTACTACTGAATTATGTAGTTTTAAATGTACGTGTTTCTTGATTACGGTGCGTCATTCAAAGTTAAGATCCGAGGTAAGAGCGACCATTACTACGGTTTCTATTTGAGTTCGTAACCTGGAACACGAAATTCATTCTATGACGGACGTGCGCATGAAAAGGTTAACGTTAGCACACAATATTAAGAAAGGACTTTTAAGTGTTAGCCAATATCAAAATGTATTTTCCGAATGTCGGTTACTGGTATTAACGGAATCACGTTACGTAGGGAAGTAATTTTATGCTTCACTTGGAATTATTCTTTTATCGGATATTACGAAAAGTGTAGATTGTTACTGTTATTTTTTACATGAAATTTTGTAAACTTCACATAAGTATCAAATAATCAGTACATCGTGAGATGGTACAAGTCTGCTCCCTACAAACACTACAAGATGATTACGGCCACGCTCTTAACGATCTGTCAAGAGTGACACGATTGAGAAGCAGAAGATAAAATAATATTTATAACATAATCATTTTTAACCAAATTAAATGTGCGGATTTAAAAAAAAGGCTTTTTTCTGATTTGTAAAACACTAGTTAATTAATATAACTAATAATAATTTTACTTTTCGCCTAGCTTCGACATTAGCCCCTTATTTTTTCGAATACTACAGTCGTCAAAATTAAACAATAGTTTATTTATTTTAATTTTTGTCAATTACCTAAAAAGTTAGATTGAACTGTACAGATTGAAGGTAAATGTGCGGAAGATTTTCTTTGTAACTTCTAAAGCTTGGCTACGCTCTTCTGTGATTCTCGGTAAATATATGAAATATACTACTCCTTAAAATTACAATACAATACATCGATTGTATTCTAAGACAAAAACTTTTCCGAAAATGTAAGCAGCAGATTTCATTTTCATTAAGTTTTATGCGAACGGACTGATTGTGAACAAACAAACATACAAACGTATTTTATTCTATATCCATATTGTTTTTTTTTCTACCGTGAAGCAGTCTTGCATTCTAACTTGAAGGGTGTAGAAGCCGCTATATGACACAATTGAGACTTCTACTTCTTATTTCAAAGGTGGGGGCACCCACTGACGTCTTTATGCTATGATCACTACTTTGCACCGGTAGGCAGCGGCTTGGCTCTGCCCCTGGCATTGCTGAAGTCCATGGGCGACGGTAACCACTCACCATCAGGTGGGCCGTATGCTCGTCTGCTACAAGGGCAATAAAAAAAAAAACCTTATGGCCCCCTGAGTTCATTCACCATTGGAGCAAAAATAAAAATCGCGTTTATATGTCACTTGTAGCATATAGAAAAGTTATTTTAAAATATTTAAAAGCTGATTTAGTCCGATGAATATTATAGTTTTACAGTGCAAGTTGATGTATTATACAAATTAATATGTGCGTATTGTGTTGCTTTTGTTTTTTTTACTTAATTTTCTAAATTTTTCATCTCTGTTCACTTTCTACCTATATGTGATTTTGATTGTGGAAGCATATTTTAGTTATTGTTTTAGCTATTTTTTTAAATATTATATTTTTGTATTGTACTGTTTGTTTCCCATATAAATATTGAATAAAAAATGTTTACAAAGAACTGTATTGTCTGCAGCAAGAATTCAGTAAGCGAGAGATCCGCGAGAGCTCCTACGTTGTTCGAGACTCCTCGTATAGCAGTGTTGAGGAGAAACAACAGCAGTCTTTTTTATCCAATAGGCCCCCCCGCGACCCGAACGGGGGGGCCCGCACTGAAACGGACGCAGTACACGGACGTTTCAGGTAATTAGTTCTATATTATTCATTAGTCTTATAACGCAACTGAGCCAGTTAGGCGTCCATAAGTCTGCTAATTAAAACTTATATCCACTATTATAGTACACAGGGAATACACGTTAATGAATTATGGACGTAGAAACTGTTGTTGATTGATAATGAAAACATATTATATCTGTTAAACTTTGAGTGGTTCTTTTAAATGACTAAATAGTTTTAATTTTGCGTCTATCAATACTATGTGGTTGGAAGTTGTAAGGTAAAATTTTCCATTTATCTTATTAATTCAAAAAAGTATATGTGTACCTACATAATTCGATTAGTATCGTGTTGATTTAAAACGTTGGGAGCGTCACAGTAAACCACGAAAGTACATTTTCTATAAATATCTTTTGTTACAGACCAATTCAAAGGGATAACAATAGAGGTGCCAGAGGAATAATCGTAAAACCGAATTACAAAGGTGTCGTAGGACAACCTGTTGAATTTATTGGTGAGTTCCGAACAATAAAAAACAACAGTAAATTCAATCGTAAAAATCCGAGCATCTGAATAAATTTACAATGTAGGTGAAATTGACGAAACGTTCAAGCAAACCCCTCAGCTTCTGTGTCACATAAATGTTTTTTGAGATATCATTCTTGCACAAAACATCGTGAATTCACGAGTCCATTTAAAACTACTGAGGTTCGTTCACAGATCGAAATTTGACATAACCTCAGATAACTCAAGATTTATATAGGACTAGTTGTACCCGTCCGCTTCGCTGGGCATTTAACATTAACATTATTATTTCTCACCCCCATAAAGATCATCATTAACGCCCCTGCAACAGGTGTAGGGAATCCAACACTCATCTAAATATTAGCCTGACCATCAAGTACATGTATTTTCTACATGGATACCAAATTTCAAGTCAATCGGATGCATGGTTCAGTAGTTATAACGGAACATCCGTAAAAACCACTGTAGATTTATATATTAGTATAGATTTTACCTATGATATATTATCATATGTTGCATACGTTTATGATTGTAAATACTAGTGTGTTAGTGTAAGAAACTAATTGTTTTCATGTGTGTTTCTTTATAACACTAAATACCGTGAATAGCTACTAATTACAAAAATCACTAGACTTCACAACTTGTATAGTTCTGTTATCTCCATAGATCTTTTAAGCTCATACAATTAAACATACGTATAAATTCACAAATATATAATTCTACATGAAAATAGTGTGTTTAACTATTAACCAGAAAAATACAGTAACAACACCAGCAACTTATATATTCTACTTTAAGCATATACATGTATGCTAGTATTTATGTATCATCTCTAAGCAGTAGTCGCCTACCCCAAACATTTTTCTCCAGGCCTATACTTCTCAAGGAGGATTAATATTGGATGTGGTTATAAAACTATAGGATAAATTGGGTAAAGGTACCTACATCATACAAACAAGTTTTGTCGACCCCAAATAGTGTGACATAGGAAAGTAGACATAATATATTGCACGTAAAGAACCTTTCCCAAAAACAATTCTGTAGCGCTAGTGATTCCTGATACGGTGAACTATCGAAAAATTCATGATTTTTTTATAACTTATCCAATATAACGTGTCGAGTCAGCGGTCTCATGCATAGCTTCGTTTTAAATTTCAGGCTATTTTTTTTATTTATTATTGCCCTTGTAGATAGACGAGCATACGTCTCACCTGATGGTGAGTGGTCACCCATGGACTTCAGCAATGCCAGGGGCAGAGCCAAGCCGCTGCCTACCGCAAATAAATTATTTAGAAATAAGCTATTTAGAAATCATGAGTATTTTACTTTTATCATTTCTTCTTCTTCTTCTCCATCGCTCCCTCATTACTGAGGATCGTGACTCCGTTTCAGCTTGTTGACTGCTAGCCTCCATCGGCTCCGGTCAGTTGCCTGGTGTAGTGCAGCGCTAAGTGGTCCGCTCGTTTGTCGGAGATCTGGTCTGACTTTACTTTTATTATGCTTTCTAAAAAGTATTATCCTTTGTACAGTGGACGGAAGTACGGCAGGTCCCGGTCATTTGGAGTTGGAAGTGTCTGGCGGGAACGGGGCTTTAATAGCGAGTTCGGTTCGGCCGCTCGGTGCCCATCGATATGCCGCCATGTTTGTGCCACGGATCCCACGGCCGCATACTGTACGAGTGACGTTTAACAATGAACATGTACCCGGTAAGTCAATAAAGACACGATTATTAACTTTCGTCGTCATGGCCTGAAAGATACGACGTCTGGTGCATTCGTATCTAGCGATGCATCGGTGTTCGTATCCCGCAGGCGGGTACCAATTTTTCTAATCAAATACGTACTTAACAAATGTTGACGATTGACTTCCACGGTGAAGGAATAATATCGTGTAATAAAAATGAAAAAAAAAATTGCGTGATTACTGGTGGTAGGATCTCTTGTGAGTCCGCACGGGTACCACCGCCCTGCCTGTTTCTGCCGTGCAGCAGTAATGCGTTTCGGTTTGAAGGGTGGGGTAGACGTTGTAACTATACTGAGCCCTTAGAACTTATATCTCAAGGTGAGTGGCGGCATTTACGTTGTAGATTTCTATGGGCTCCGGTAACCACTTAACACCAGGTGGGCTGTGAGCTCGTCCAATCATCCAAGCAAAAAAAAAACCAGTATGTTTTCAGTTGCTACCAATGCCTTATTAAAAACTAGTTTTGCTGCAATACGAATTTAGAATAAGATTAGATTTCGTATCTTATGTCGGCTGTAACCTAACGTCTGTTTACGTGATTAAAATAAAAAACTGGAACGGAATTATATAGTTACTTTATTAGCTACATCAATCGATACTTTTGATGATATTGAAAACACGTGTCTTAATTAGATGGATGGACATACCTTAAGTGAACACAAAGTTAAGAATAAGTAAATAAGTTAAATAATACTTTTTTTTAAATATAATATGATTTTTTAATCAAGATTATCTTTTTGCTATAAATCAAATTATTATTGCTAATTTATTAGGAGCTGTAGAACTTTCACATTAAGTATTGCTAACTAAGTAACGGTGCACATCCTGTTATAAACAAGAAATGCATTCTGGCTAATATTTTACTTATAAATGTTACGATCCTCACTAGATGATAACAGCTATTAATGAAATTGATATCCATGTTAATTTAACGAGTGCTGAATCTGGTAAGCCTGAATAACTTCATTAAGCCATAATATGTACTTCCATGCTAAACTTAAACACTGGTGGTAGGACCTCTTGTGAGTCCGCACGGGTAGGTACCACCACCCCGCCTATTTTTGCCGTGAAGCAGTATTGCGTTTCGGTTTAAAGGGTGGGGCAGCCGTTGTAACTATACTGAGACCTTAGAACTTATATCTCAAGGTGGGTGGCGCATTTACGTTGTAGATGTCTATGGGCTCCAGTAACCAGCACCAGGTGGGCTGTGAGCTCGTCCACCCATCTTTGCAATAAAAAATAAATAAATAAATAAAACTCTTTGGGTAAAGGCAATTTGAACGTTGGCACGAACTTTGGTGACGCATTTCAAACTGGCTGTGATTGTATTAAATATAAAACAAAACGTGATTAAAAATGAAAACTCTCCTGATGGAATCGGAAGGAAAATCAGATACTTTGCATTCGAAAAAAGGGAAGATTTCGACTCGAAATTGCTCTCAACACAGCAAAAATGAATAAATAACTTTAAATTGAGTACCTCTCTGAACGTTGTGTTTTTCTCAAGCAGCACCCGAGCGTGCTCTCAACCACAAAGTTTACTGTCACATGACAGGTACAAAAATATCAAGAAACGTGAATGAAGTGCGACATTGCACGATACTCGGCTCTTCGAATATTGGTTTCCAAACGAAAACCCATTATAAACACTTTTCATCGACATCAGAACAAAATTCCAATTCAATCCGCCGAAACCGTAAAAATTGTGTTAAACATGACGACTTGTATATAAATCTTATAAAAAACAAACAAAATTTTTTACAAGCGAAATAAGCAAAAAAAAAAGGATTAAAAAATTTAATTACCATTTTCTCTTCTGATTGTCAAGCGTTTTTTTTGTTGTTATTGAGGAGCTCTTTTTTTATAATAAAAAAATAGAAGCAGTTTTTCTTTTCAAATTTTCAATAACAAGACAATGAAGAACATTTAAACAAACAAAACAAAATTAATTTTAAAGTATCAGCGCTTAAGGTTCATTTTCGACCATCGGCTGAACGCTAGTAATTATAAATGAAAAAACGAAGACCGATTAAAATAAAATACGTGAATTGACATCCACGCATGTTGACTAGAAGTCAATAATCATAATACGAAGTGCACACAGTAAGGATTAAGGAGCCATGCGAGATTTGATCTAAGCTTAGAATTACGCAACTAATCTACATAGGTAATAGGTATTAGCAGCCACTAGTATATTAGTGCTAATTTAAGCAGATCGTTGTATCTATGTAGAATATATCATTCAATTGAGGACTCGTAAAGGTAGGAATAGGAATCGCAGGCACCTAATACTATAACCTCATTACAAGTGCCATAGAAAAACTATTCTTCCTTTACAAGCTTATATTTAACTTGCTGTCTTTGTGAGTATGTAAGCTAGACTGGTTCAGATTTTGCAAGCTAAGCTAAAACCTAAACTAAGCTAAAGGATTCTCCTAATTTTTACACGTTGGTGACCTTTTTTTTTTACTATGTAGTTATCCCTACGGGGTGCTAACAATAAGTCGCCTACTTATCTAATCCAAATAAAGAAGATAAAATGCAAAGCATTCGCAAAATGTTTCAAGCAGTTTATTTTTATTATAAAATTAGCGAAGGCTTATCTCGAAGTCGTCCCCGCAAAGCAACGAATTTAAACAATCTTTTGTCACAGTTGCACGTAGGTACGGACACGAAAGGGAGCATTTATTTTTAGTTTTCACTAGACGGCTAGGGAGAATCTATTCTCGCTGTGCTTATATATAGCTGTCTACTCGTTAAAGCTTCAGTGTTTATTAAGAATAGCTAAATTTATTAGAACGCAAATAAACTGGTGGCAGGACCTCTTGTGAGTCCGCACGGGTATGTACCACCACCCTGCCTATTTCTGCCGTGAAGCAGTAATGCGTTTCGGTTTGAAGGGTGGGACAGCCGTTGTGACTATACTGAGACCTTAGAACTTATATCTCAATGTGGGTGGCACATTTACGTTGTAGATGTCTACGGGCTCCAGTAACCACTTAAGACTAGGTGGGCTGTGAGCTCGTACAGCCATCTAAGCAAAAAATTATAATAATAAAAATGTCGTTCGTGAATATTTTAATACGTCGCTATGTTGAATCATGAATTTATCTAAATCTAATCTAAACCAAAGTAATAAAGTTTTTGTGATATTTTTAAGCCCATAAGGTGGTATGATAGTCACCAGCATACTGCCTTACAGAACGCAAAGCACTTCTTCGCTTTGGCTTGAGAGATGTGAGAGCCATTATACTACAAGATTGAGACTTTGGCCTTATTTCCGAAGGTGGCGGCTCTCACGTATCGATGTCAAAGTGCTCCGCTAACAACTTAACACGAGGTAGGTATATCGTGAGCTGCTCCACAATTTTATTGTAAAAAAAATAGAAACCAGAGAAGATATAATTACAACAACAACCGCTAGTATCTATCTTAATCATTCCACTACTTTTGCGATAGGCAGCGGCTTGGTTCTGCCCCTGGCATTGCTGAAGTCCATGGGCGACGGTAACCACTCACCATCAGGTGGGCCGTATGCTCGTCTGCCTACAAGGGTAATAAAAAAAAAAACTATATTATGTCTGTTATAATCGTGAAATATATTCCCAATGAAGGTTGTATATCATATTATAAGGCTAAGCTTTTAAATTAACTCAAATAACACAAAATTGAATTGCGAAAATGTTTGTGATATATATGCCGATTTAATTTGCTTGTTAAAACGACTTGGTATTAAGGGTCTGGATTGTTTCTTGCTTGGTGTTTAAGTTTATAACATAACACCGGAGAAACTTCTAGTCTTAGAACGTGGGGCTTAGAGCGCATTTTGTTTTCTTAAATTGTGAATTAGCTTACGCTGGTAGATTAACGAGGGGTTTGAAAGTGTTCGTCCGCGTCACATAAACAGTATAAATTACGAAATCATACACTGTCGAATGTGAGAACTTATGAGTACACTTCAGTTTGACTACCTACGTAATTAAATGAGTTATAGAGAACGGACTTTTTGGCGGGAATGCGAGGAGTGAAGCTGTGATTTGTTTTATTTTGTCTAATTAATGTTTCTTCAGGTTTAAATGTGTAATAACGGTGGTTTATTAACTGTTTAGTATCCGTGAAAGTGCACAAATATGGTAAAATGAAACAAAGCCACTGAACGCAACTTCTCAGGATCTTCCAAAAAGTCTCAGTCAATGACCACCATTTTACTGAGATTATACTTCATCCCGTATCATCTCATCTCATTTCATTTCATTATACCATTATCATATAAAAAAGTTACGTATCATTAAAATTAAAATAAGACTTGACCTAAAGGTCTTAGTTACCAGGTCATAAAATCCCTTAAAAAAAGTTGTAGAGAACTCAAAATACAGTGTCTTGTGCCCGGTTTCGATCAGGCAGAATCCACACGAGTGCTTTTTCTTATTCTAGAAACGAATTTTGCAAAAGATGGCCTTTAAATTAGTTTCATAGTTAAATAGTTTTCCTTTGTAACCCTTTCGGAACAGTTGAAGCGCGGTTGAGCGTTCATGAAAGTGCCGCTAAATGCAGTATATCGTTGGAGGCGCTTTCCACATTTTCTAATTACCGACTTTCAATGCCTCGTAAATTACTTAAGCTTTAGGAATCCGCTCGGAACAGGGTCATGGAAGCTGAACTTTGCATACAGAAAGTACTTGTAGATATAATTAATATAAATGTGTAAACCAAAAAGTTTTATTTTAATTATTTTTTTATATATAATCTATAAATTTTATAAGATTATAGAATGAACTAAAAATTAACAAACCTGAATAGAAATGCACGCGGGCGGTTTCTTATAATATTTTGCGCTTTTAATAATTAAAAAAATATACTGGTATTTATAATTTTGTAATTATTTATTAGTTTTTTGTATTTAGTCCTCCCGAATCATAGACATAATTTAAACTACTTTTACAGCTTGATTGCGTGTTTTTAT